CCTAATACCTATACTGAACTTAGACCCCTAGCAAAAATTATATTTGTAGCCGCTGCTTGGGGTTTATAGTAGCCACAAAAGCCCTTCTCCAATTGCCCCCCCGAAGAGCCTCGGTGCTGCAGGTGGGCCTCTCCAGAGAGCAGTAGAGCGGCCTCACCAAGCAGATGCCTAGACCCTGAAGCTATAACCGAACACCATATATGTATATTGTACATATATATATATGTATATACAGAAAGTGTGTATAGAGAGAGAGAGAGAGAGAGAGAGAGAGAGTCCCAAAATAACAGGCAGTTTTGTAGCATACTTAAGAGCCGTAACTTGACCGTACCACCGTGCCTTCGGCTGGGTCCCGCTCTCGGGCTTCGAAAAGGCTTGAGCTTGACAGTTGAAGTATCAGGCCACGTCATTCCAAGAATTTGCCCCCTGCCAAGCTGGTCGCGCCCCTCCAAGCAGGCCTGTGGCCAGCCACGATGACCCAGGGCTGATTGCCACGAGCCTTGGCACTCCGAATGTGTGCGTGCTTGCAAAGGGGCTCGGACCTTGCAATGTGATTCGGAGCGAACACAAGGGCAGATGACCGGCCTCCACGCCATCTGCCTCTTTCAGCACCTCCTCCAGCCATTGAAGCTGCTGCTTGGCCTCCATCGGCAAAAAAATGGGTTCAAGACTTGCGACGACAAGCCCAGGACCGCGGCCAACGTCGCACGTTGTGGCCTCGAGCAGAGCGCACGCAGGAGAAGAGACCTGCTTCCTTGTGCCGAGCCCTCTGCTCCGGAGACGTCCCCAAAGCGACCAAAGCATCAGTCCAAAGCCTCGCAAGCGACTCGCATGCGTCGTATTTGCCAGCGCTCGGTTGCACACGGAGCTCACACGCAAGGCAGGACCTACAGGCGCAAGGGCAACAGCCGTGCGCAATGGCAAAGACAGCACTAGATTTACAGATTGAGATCAAGTTCAGCTGAGGTCCTGGCATAATGAACCTCGCAGGCCCCACAGTGAAAGTATACCACCTCAAGCACAGGCGCACATGTCGGAACATTGGGTCATTCTTCCATTCACTACTCGGACAATTGGCTTCAAGCCTCTAATGGCCCGCTGAGACCTTCGACGGCATTCTAGTTGCCTAGAAGCCGCCGCCAGGTGCTTAGACTTTGAGACTCAGGGCGCTTCTCTGTGCACGGATGCTTTCACGTTCGGCACTGCCAGGGCTTTGCAGGCTCCCAGAGGGCTAAACGGCTGCTTTTTTGAGCTTGGGCACTTTCAGGCCTTGAGCTTAAGCGCATTGGGGGAAGCGCGTGGAGGCGCTCAGATGCTCGCGGACGCCATTCACGGAAGTCTGTCTTGAAGGATCTTCGTGAGGAACTTCAATTCCATACGCTTAGATCATAATTCGAACGCCTGACACCGATGAAAGCCTCCACCCAAGGATACTCGCCAACAGGCACTGCAATAACAATCCAGTTTGCCTTTCTCTCACACGTTGTGATCCGCTCGCACAAATCTATCCTGACTATTCCTTCCCGTGTTCACAGCATCGGACATCCCAGCTTTACACTCGCACAGTGCCCTATTACTGGGCCCATGGCGGGTTGCTTGAGTTCGACATCTTGAAGAAACGTCTGGCAGCACAAGACAGCGTGAAGGGATTGTCTTGTTGCATCAAGGCTGCAGTTTGTATTGCTTGCTGCTGGCAAACTTGGGTATTTCTGGATTTTGACGGGCCTTCTTTGACTTGAACGCATATGTCGTACTGAACGGCAAAACACCTAACGATGTGACTTGAATCTCGTCATAACAGCAGAAGCCAGAACTTGAAACCGAGACTCTGACTATGGTTCTATAGACAAAATGGATCCTAATGCCTCCCCTGCTAGGTTCCTGTTTCATGGCCTTCACCGTAGAACTGTTGTACAACCTTTGAGCGCGTCGTACAGGACTACTCCGTCAAGTGTCTTGACATCTTGGGCCTGTAGTAATCATACCCGAAACCCTAAACCCTAAACCGAATCTAGCTTTATGAGCACTCCCCTTTTTGCGCTGATGCTCCGGATTGCTGTGTCGAGCCATGCAGCCGGGGCGCTGATAGACTTCGAGGCGATCCCTGTCCTTGGCAGTGCTTGCGTCTAGCAGTAAACAGAGGCAGGCCAGACGATGATAGGTTCAGGGTGCAGGGTTTAGGGAGTTTAGGGTTTAGGGCTTAGGGTAGATTTACAACAGAAGCTCAAGTCAAAGCTGCAGACCTCGAATCGAAGATGTCACCTCAGGCGCCAACTCCTCGCAGAGGCATGAAAGGACGCATCGCCGAAAGCGGCTGGAGCCTGGAGGCGGGATTTGTTTCTCTTCGTTGCTCTTGTTGCTACTGTGATTACTACTACTACTACTACTACTACTACTGCTGCTACTACTACTACTACTACTGCTACTACTACTACTACTACTACTACTGCTTCTACTACTGCTACTGCTGCTACTACTACTACTGCTACTACTACTACTACTACTACTGCTGCTGCTTCTTCTGCTACTACTACTACTACTACTACTACTACTACTGCTTTCATTTCTGCTATGACTCGGGAAACTACGGATGTTCAGAATCTATGTTGAAAGATATTAAGAGAAAAGCTCTGTTGTCAGCAAGTACTCTTAAGAAGACTGCAGTTCTTGACATGAATGACCTTCCATCAGGCCAAGGCATGCCCAAAAGGGCCCGGGCTTGCTCCAGAAATCGCTGGCAGTCGTGCTCCCCTGCAATCACAAGTGACCGGAAACACAAGTTTTTGGGTTTGGCAAACTTGGTGGCGCTAGAGCTCCGTTCGCGCCCAGTCCTGTTGGGAAAGATCCCAGGTCAAATCACCCAGCTGAATCACAGCATCCGGTGTCGAGTTTTGAATCCTGCGGCAAACGATAAAACACAAGTGCCCATGGACCTCACGCATTTGTCCAAGCCAGCTTCGGGCCGCACACCAACGCTGCGAATTTGCCCAAGAGCTGCTGCTGCAACAACTTTGCTCGTCCTTGCGAGGATCTGGTCAGTGGCGCCACTGTCCCTGAAGCCAAGATCTCCGAGCACCGCCAACCGCAAAGGGCCTGCCGCGACTTCGAACCGAACACTCAGAAGACATGGAAACCCTTAAGACTTCACGATGTGAAAACGAGCAGCCAATGCAAGGTGCGATGTTTCAGGGCCAGACGCCTGCAGCACTGGCAGTGGCAGGCTCAGTTGAGGGCCTCTGGTCGGCAGAGGTCTTCTCCGCAGTTTGGACTGGCATCCCTTGGAACGACGTGAGTCTGAGACGCGGACACTGACTGACCTGTCCAGCGGCAGGACGGCAATCGGGTCTCGATGGGTCCAAAGCCACCAGCGCCCCCGATCCGATAAGCCAGATCCTCAGGGTGCCAGTCTGTTTTTGGCGCATCCTTGGTGCCTGGTGCAAACCTCGTTTCTCCCCACTTCACCAAAATCCAGCGCACTGAACCCTCTTCACTCCTGCTCGAGGCCGTGCAACACCGCTTGCACCCATCGTCGTCCATGCCACGGGCCGGAAACGTTCCCGGTCATATTGAGCGACGGGCCTTCCGCCAAGTCGGCGCTGCTGCGCGCATAGGTCACCTGTCTGTTTTCAGGCATCCGGATCTGCTCGGTTTGGGAGGCACGGTAGCGTGATGCATGCACACATGCAGGAAACAACTGTTGCTGAGTGGCACAATTTGAAGATGCTGTGCGGTACACATTCGGTAGCCGACATGTTGCACATACATGCATCTGTCTCTGAATGAATCAGCTACTCAGCTCGACATGACGTGTGAAAGTCCCACCTGGCTCAGACGGTTGAGCTCGCTCCGGTTGCCATCAGGGATGCTCCACGAGATAGCGACATCGCCTCGTGCAGGCACTTGATCGGCAAGGGAGTACCCACAGCTTCTCAAGGCAAAGCACACTCAGCCCCATCCACCAGGGACAGCCAAATGTGTCCGACATCCTGCAGCAAGCCGCGTTAGCATTCAGATTCGCACCCAGCCCTCGAGTTATGTTCTTGAGAATGTTCTGTTGGTCCTGGGCTGAAACCACATCCACGCTAGTAAGCAACCTCCACGCCGTCAAGGCTGCAGCGCCGCGGATCTTGCCTGTCGACTCATTGTTGCCTACTACCCTAATCGTACACGTCGCACCGCTGTCATCCTGCATCCCACTTGGTTCCACGTTTCCTCGGCCTCTAGATGTGGCTGTCCTGCGTTTTGCGAGCCGCCGCTGCCATGGCATCACGGCTCATGCAGACGCATGACCCTGCAGCTTTCTGCCCCCAAACTGCCGACAAACTTACGCGTTCCATGTGTGGTTGGTGTTGTTGCGGCTTGTCCTTCCGTTTGCTTTCAGCAAGCTCATGCAAGGATATGCCCAATCTGCCACAAGCGACTCGTCAAGCTCGAACCTTGATGGACCGTGCCCACGCCTATCAAAAGTTGCAAAGGATAGTGTCATGCATTCTGCCGTGTGATCTGTAGTATGGAGCTTGAACCACATTTATGCCCCGAACCGAATGTTTCCATACTGCGGCTTTGCTTCAGCAGGGACAGCTCGGACATCCCCAAAGGTGGCTACTAGCAAAAATTACGAACATTGTTCAGACTACTTAATACTATTGCTTGTGTTAAATCTACTCCTACCTGCTCTTATGCTCTTAATAGTCTTGCGTAACATATAACCGACAGCAGCAGACTTCCTCAGGTTGGAGTGCTACAGCCAGGATCTGCAAGGCCTTTAGGTGAGGGTGAGGCATACGATTGATGCAGCTGCGCTCT